CATCTCCTGCTACTTCAGAAGCTCCTATAGGCACAGTGCCACCTATACCAGTTGCAAAAACAGGTGAGTGATGATCTCCCTTGTAGACTGCAAGGCCATAAATACCAAGGGACATCCTGAGCCCCACACCAATCATCTCAGCAAGAAAGCAGGTTCCTGCACCCAATTCTGGTGGAAAACAGCTGCTCCAATGAATCCCACAGCAGCTTGCCAACAAGAGATAGACCTGTGGGCAGTCTGTACCACCAATGTGACCACCCACTGGAATCTCTTTCTACAAGACTCATTCTGTCAGTCAACCAAGCTTACCTCAGCATCCTCCCTAAAGGGAAAGGTGAGGTGCAGGGAATGGGAGGAGGGGCAATAAGGGAGAACTGGGATTGGTATGCAAAATTTAAAACAAAAAGTAGTTTTCTTTCTTTTTTTAAAAAAAGAGAAAAAAAACACCACCAATAATGGTCAGGGCACTATGAGCCCAGTTACCTTACCACAATAAGTTCTGAATATTCCATCATAGCTGAAGCAAATTATTAAATCACAAAAACAACCTATATGAAGATAGAGTTCCTGAAAGAGGAAATTAACAAATCTCTTAAAGAAATCCAAGAAAAAATTAGAAAACAAAAAACAGGTGAAGAAAAGGAATAAAACCACTCCAGACCTAAAAATGGGAATAGAATAAATAAAGAAAATACAAGCTGATGGAATTCTTGAAATAAAAATTTTGAGAATTTGAAAATTAACTACAAAGGCAAGTGTCACCAAAAGAATACAGAATTCTGGAAGAAAGAATCTCAGGTATTGAAGACTTGATAGAAAATTGAATATATCAGTCAAAGAAAATGTTAAAAATCAAAAAAGTTTTGACACAAAACATTCAGGAAATATGGGACACTATAAAAATATTAAACTAAGAATTATAAGAATAAATGAAAGAGAATCCTAGCTCAAAAGGTCCAGAAAGTATCTTCAACAAAATCATAGAAGAAAATTGCTCTAACCTAAGAAGAGGAAACCAATAAAGATACAAGAAGCATACAGAACAGCAAGTAGATTAGACCAGAAAAAATTCCCTTACCACATAATAACTAAAACACAAAACATGCAGAATAATGAAAGAATTTTTTTAATGAAAGGAAAAAGAACAAGTAACATATAAAGTCAAACCTATTATAATTATACTTGGTTTTACAAAGGAGACTGCAAAACCAGAAAGGTCTGAACAAATGTGATTCAGACTCTAAGAGACCACAGATACCAGACTAGCGCACTATATCTATCAAAATTTTCAGTTACTTAGATGGAGAAATTAAGATGTTTCATGATAATCAAATTTAAGTAATATGTATCTATAATTCCAGCCCTACAGAAAATTCTAGAAGGAAAACTCCAACCTATTGAAGTTAACAACACCCATGAAAACACAGAAAATAATTTCACACCAGCAATATTAAAATAAGGACACACACACAAAACCAACACTAATTCAACCATTGCCCACAACAATGTAATAACAACAATCAAAAATAATTATTGATCATTTATATCTCTCAATATTAATAATCTGCATTCTCCAATAGAAAGACATAGACTAACATAACAGATTTGAAAACAGAATCTATCCTTTTGCTTCGCCAAAGAAATACATATCAGCATCATGTATAGGTACTACCTTGAGATACCGTGTTGGAAAAAGACATCCCAAGAAAATGATCCTAAGAATCAAGTGGATATAGCTATTTTAATATCTAACAAACTAGACTTGAAACCACAGGCACAATACTGAGTAACCAAAGGAAATATCCACTGAGACAATATTTCAGTTCTTAACATCTATGCCCCAAATACAAGAGCACCCAAGTTTGTAAAAGAAACACTTCTAAAACATAAATCATATACTGACTGTCACCTATTTATAGTGGGAAATTTTAATACCACATTCTCAAAAAAGGGTGAGTCATCCAGACAAAAACTAAATGGAGAAATCCTGGAGCTAGTAGACATTGTAAACCAAATGGACTTAGGAGTTATTTAAAGAACGTTTTAAACAAAAATAAAAGAATGTACTTTCTTCTTAATACTTCATGGAACTTTCCCTAAAACTAATGAACCACATACTCAGACACCAAGCAAGTCTCAGCAGATACAAAAAAAATTGAAATATCTCCCTGAGTACTATTAGACCACCACAGATTAAAGCTGGAGCTCGTCAACAACAAAAACAACAGAAAGCTTAAAATCTCATGAAAATTGAAAAAAAAAGCTCTATTGAATAAAAATGCATCAAGACAGAAAGAAAGAAATTAAAGACATTCTAAAATTCATTGAAAATTAATATGCAACAAAGCCAAACTTAGGAGACAAAATTAAAGTGTGCTAAGAGGAAATTTCATAGCCCTAAGGGCATAAGTTAAAAAAATTGTACATTTTTAAAGTATGATACCCAATGCACATTTGGACTCAACAAAGAAACAGAATTACAGACCAATTTTCCTTATGACCTAGATGCAAAAATACTCAAAAATACTTGCAAATCAAACAAAAAACACATCAAAAACATAATCCACTATGATCAAATGGAGTTCATCTGAGAAAGAATGGGAGGGTTCAATGTACAAAAATCAGTATGTAATCCAACATATAGGGAAACTGAAAGAAAAAAATCAAATGATCATCTCATTAGGTGTAGAAAAAGGCTTTGACTAAAATTAACAATCCTTCATGAAAAAGTTCTGTAAAGACTAGGGTTACAAGAGACATAACTAAATATAATAAAGACAATTCACAACAAGAATATAGCCAAAATCAAATTAATATAGAGGCACTCTAAGCAATTCTACTGAAATCGGGATCAAGACAAGATTGTACGTGCTCTCCATATCTACTCAATATAGTACTTGAAGTATTAGTTAAAGCAATAAGACAACTGAAAGAGATAAAAGAAATACACAGGAGAAGAAGTCAAAGTATCCTTGCTGCGGGTGATATGATAGTATACATAAGTGACTCTAAAAAGAAAGTTAAAAGTAAGAAAAGTTAAAAAGAATGCACCAAGATATTCGTCAGTATTGCTCTAGGATAGGGTCATTTCAGGTTCCCAATCCTCAGCTGCCCAAGGAACTAACTGGGAACCTCATCTTGGGCACTAGGGAGCTCCTCTAGGGTCAAGTCGCTTGCCCACCCTAAAGTGGCTCCCTTAACTAAGAATTGTGGTTCCGTGCTCCCCTATCCACCTTTCCTTTATCCCAATTCTCCCGTTTCCCAGGCCCCCCCTCCTTCCCTTCTACCTTTTCTCTCCCCATCTCCCCTTACCCCCATCCCACCCCAGGGAACCCGGACTGCTCTGTGGACTGGAGAGGGAGGGGGAGAGGAGTGGGGGGAGGGGGAGAAGGGTGGGAGGAGGGGGAGAAGGGTGGGAGGAGGGGAAGGGAAATGGGAGGCTGGGAGGAGGTGGAAACTTGTTTTTTGTTTATGTTTTTTTTTCTTCTTTTCGCAATAAAAAAAATAAAAAAAAAGAATGCACCAAGCATGCAAATATTAACATATAATATACTGAAAGTGAAATTCACAGTTCAAACAAGATGGTACAAGGAATAAGTAACTTTTAACAATGGGATAACTTAAAGAAATTACCTGAAGAAGACATTGAGATATCATGAGGGGTTGAGGAGTTTATCAAAGTCTGAAAGCTGTATTGATCAGCTACCAAGGACAATAAGATGGCCATTAGATACTTCTGCTTTCCTGAAGAAAGGCAAGTCAACTGGTCATTCAGAGAGAGCTAATGCTCTTCACATTGCCCTCTACATCCAAGTATTGCTGAAGAAAAAAAATATTGGAATAAAAAAAATGAAAAGACATGGTCTTCAAAATACTCAGGAATAAAGACAGTGATCCCTTCCATTTGTTTCTTATCATTAGCTACATAGCAAAGCCATTTTCAGTTTACAGTGCAAGTAAGCTGATAAGTGCTTTTTTTCTGTTGATTTCACCTCTTTGGGTCTATCCTTTCAATGCTTGTTTGTGTCACACACTTAATTACATATCTAAATTATACTATTAATTATAGCAATGATCAATATAATCAATAAAGTATATAGGACACATTTGGGACACTGTAGCAATACCCATTTTCTCAAAATATAGGATCATAAAGCCAGACATTACTGCTATATGCCATCAATGAAAGCTGAAGTGTACCAGTTATATGAATTTCTCCTGTCTTGTTGGAGACCTTTATATCTGGACCTGAGTTTGCAATTCCTAAGAGTTGTTCAGCATCCTCACATTGTTGTTCTTATCACTGATCCAGGCAAGCCCTCTCTCAACACATGAATATTTTCACTGCCAGGCTAAACTTCAGAGAGCTTGTTTCCTTAGTTTTGAAAAATAAAAACATTATTGTGCTGGATATATGTTTTTCAATCTCTGAACAGAGGTATTGAATCTGAGTTCATAGCTCTAAATGCAATCATAAAGAATTTGGAGAAATCTCACTCAAGTAATTTAATATCACACATAAAGCTCTAGAATTAAAAAGAAGCAAACTCACTCAGGAGAAGTAGACAACAGGAACTAATCAAATTGAGGGCTGAAATCAATATAAGGACAAATAATACAAAATACAAAAAGGACTATACAAAGAACAAATGAAACAAAAAGATGGTGTTTTGAGAAAAGAAACAAGATAGACTTAGCCTTAATACAAACTCCAAAAGGCAGAGAAAGAATATCTAAATTAACAAAATCAGAAATGAAAAAGGGAACATGCCAACAGACACTGAGGAAATTCAAAGAGTTATTAGTTCATACTCAAAAACCTGTACTCCACAAAATTGGAAAATGAAGCAATCCATGAGTCACATTTGGGACATTCTAAAGATACCTATTTCCTCAAAAGCTAGGATCCTAAATCAGGCCTGTACTTTTTTGCAAGTTACCACCTAAGGTTAAATAGTCTAAGCCAGGTCTAAAAGCCTCACTTGCCTTATAAGTGGTCACTTAATCCTCAAGATTGGCAATTTATGGATTGCTTGACATCCTTGCACAAATGTACTCTTCACCCATCCAGACGATATCTCTGTGAGCAGATAACAATTCCATAGTCAGGCAAAGTCTGCATAAACCTGTTTTCTGTGGTGTAAGAGGATATTTATTCAGAGGACTCTGTTTGCAATCTGTACAAAATTGATAAACTCAGGATGAATAAATGTGTCATGGGTTGCCCAAGTTAAATTAGAGATAAATGAGTAATTAGAAATAACAAAAGTTTTGAAATATTCATCTGAGATGACTGAGTTGTTACAAAATATACTTTATATAAAACTAAAAATGTGCCACCAACACGTCATTCCCTGTGAGGTTCATGGAGACCAATTCTTGGTGGACATAAGAGGTGAGACAACAGTGGCCCTGGGACCCTGGACGCCTTCCACTCCCTAAAACCTCCACATGGGAGAAATGCCAGGGCCCCCCTCCCCAGGTGCCTTTGGCATTCCTAGCAGTCAGCAGGGAGCTGGTCTGTTACACAGCCATCTAACCCACCCCAAATGCTTCTTTACCTGTGAACTCTGTAGACCAATTCTTGAAGACCTAAGAGTTGAAGAGATGGGAAGTTGCCAATGCAAGAACTCCTCCATCAACCTAAAAAGCAACATGGTATCATCAGTATCAAGCGAACACACAACAGGAAGTGATGGAGGAAGGTCATTGGTTAAAAAATAAAGAAACTGCTTGACTGGCCCTCATAGGTTAAAACATAGGTGGGAGGAGTAAACAGAACAGAATACTGGGAGGAAGAGGAAGTGAGCTCAGAATCCATGCTCCCCTCTCCCGGGCAGACACAGGCAATGAAGGAAGCCACAAGGTCAGACATGCTAAATCTTTCCCGGTAAGAATGGTGCTACACAGTTTATTAGAGAGGGGTTGATCAGGATATCAGAATTAGCCAGTAAGGGCTAGAGCTAATGGGCCAAACAGTGTTTAAAAGAATACAGTTTCCGTGTAATTATTTCGGGGCATAAGCTAGCCATGTGGGTGGCCGGGTGCCGGGGACGCAGCCCCTCTGCTCATATTACAACAAGGAAGGGTTGATCATCCTAACACAGAAGAAATAGAAGAAAACGACTTTAAATGTTACTTAATGAAAATGATGGAAACCTTTAAAGAGGAAGTGAAACTGATGAATATCTTGAATATCACCACAGAACCTTCTTCCAGTGATGGATGGAGATAGAGACAGAGACCCACATCAGAGCACTGGGCTGAGCTCCTAAGGCCCAGTTGAAGAGCAAAAGGAGGAAGAAGATGACAAGGAAGTCAGGACCGCCAGGGGTTGGTCCACCCACTGAGACAGTGTGTCTGATCTAATGGGAGCTCACCAAATCAAGCTGGACTGGGACAGAATGAACATGGATCAAAGCGGACTCTCTGAATGTGGCTGACAATGGGGGCTGACTGAGAAGCCATTGATAATGGCACTGGGACTTGTTTCTACTGCATGTACTGGCTTTTGGGACCCTAGTCTGTTTGGATGAATACCTTTCTAGGCCTGGATAGAGAGGGGAGGGCGTTGGACTTCCCACAGGGCAGGGTACCATGCCCTCTCTTAAGACTGGAGAGGGAGGGAAGAGGGTGAGCAAGGGAGCAGGAGGGTGATGGGAGGAGGGGGAAGTAGAAATTTTTGAATGGAAAAATAAAAATATAAAAAATTATTCATCAAATAAAAAAGAGAAAATGGAAAAACTCCATTAAAGAAATGGAGGAAAAGACAAAAAGATGGAAGAAATTAATAAATCCCTCAAAGAAACCCAAGAAAATAAAGAAAAAGCAATCAATCAGGTAAAGAAAACAGTTCAAGATTTGAAGATTAAAATAGAAGTAATAAAGATAACACAAACTGAGGGGACTCTGGAAATGGAAAATCTGGGTAAATGAACAGGAACTACAGAGACACGTATAACCAATAGAATACAAGATATAGAAGAAAGAATCTAAGGCACTGAAGATTCTATTGAGGAAATAGACAAATAGTCAAAGAAAACACTAAATCCAACAAATTCTTAACAAAAAAAAACATTCAGGAAATCTGGGATACCATGAAAAGACTAAACCTGAGAATAACAGGGGTAGAAGAAGAATTCCAGCTCACAGGCACAGAAAATATATTCAACAAAATAATAGAAGAAAACTTTTCCAACTTTAAAAAGATATTCCTATGAAGGTACAAGAAGCTTACAGAACACCAAATACACAGGATCAAAAAAAAATCCCCTTACCATATAATAATCAAAACACAAAACATATAGAACAAAAAATATTAAGAGCTGCAAAAAAGAAAGGTCAAGTAACATATAAAGGAATACATATCAGAATTATGCTTGACTTATCAATGGATACCATGAAAGCCAGAAGGTCCTGGATAGATATGCTGTAGACACTAAGACACCACATATAGAAACCCAGATTACTGTACCCACCAAAGCTTTCATTCACTATTGGTGGAGAAAACAAGATATTCAATGATAAAAACAGATTTAACCAGTATGTATCCACAAACCCAGACTTACAGAAAGTATTAGAAGGAAAACCACAACCCAAGCAAGCTAACTACACCCACAATAACACAGACAACTGATAACCCCCTCCACACACACACCAGCATAACCCCAAAATGGGAAATACACAGACAGTACTATTGAAAGATAACCAGAGCTAACAACCACTGGTCATTAATATCGCTTAATATAAATGGTCTCAATTTACCTATAAAAAGACATAGTCTAAGAGAATGGATACGTAAACAGGATCCAGCATTCTGCTGTTTACAAGAAACACACCTCAACCTCAAAGACAGACACTACATCAGAGTAAAGGGTTGGGAAAATTTGGACCTAAAAATACAAACAGGTTTGGCTATTCTAATATCTAACAAAATTGATTTAAAACTAAAATCATTCAGAAGAGATGGAGAAGGACATTTTATACTCACAACAGAAACAATTCATCAAGATGAAGTCTCAATTCTGAATTTATATGTCCCTATTTCAAGAGCACCCACATATGTAAAAAAAACATTACTGAAACTTGACTGAAGAGCACATCAAACCCCACACACTAACAGTAGGAGATTTCAACACTCCTCTCTTGACACTGGACAGGTCAAACAGACAGAAACTTAACAGGGAAATAAAAGAACTAACAGATTTAATGAATCGAATGGACTTAACAGAACATTCCACCCAAACAATAAATAATATACCTTCTTCTCAGCACCTTGTGGAACCTTGTCTAAAAGTGATCACATTCTCGGTAACAAAGCAAACACCCACAGATAAAAAAAAATTGGAATATTTCACTGTGTCTTGTCAGATCACCATGGAGTAAAGTTAAAATTCAACAGCAATACTACTCCCAGAAAGCCTACAAACTCATAGAAACTGAACAGTCAACTACTGAACCACTCCTGGGTCAAGGAAGTAATAATGAAAGAAATTAAAGTCTTCCTTGAATTCAATGAAAATGAAGGCAGAACATACCCAAACCTATGGGAGACGATGAAAGCAGTGCTAAGAGGAAAGTTCATAGCACTAAGTCCCCATAAGGAAAATGGAGAAAGCTCACATCAGTGACATAACAGCATGCCTGAAAGCTCTAGAAAAAAAAAAAAAGCAGACTCACCCAAAAGCAGAAGAAGACAAAAAAAAATCAACAAAATAGAAACACAGAAAATCATACAAAGAATCAATGAAACAAAGAGCTGGTTCTTTGAGAAAATCACCAAGATTGACAAACACTTATCCAAACTAATCAAAAGGCAGAGAAGGAACATTCAAATTAACAAAATCAGAAATGAAAAGAAAGACATAACAGTGGACACTGAGGAAATTAAGAGAATCATTAGGTCCTAATACAAAAATATGTACTCTACAAAACTGGAAATGTAAAAGAAATAAAAAATTTTCAGATAGATACCACATACAAAAATTAAATCAAGACTATGTGAGCAATTTAAATAGACCAATAAGCCACAAGGAGATAGAAGCTGCCATCAAAAACCTCCCAACCAAAAAAAGCGCAAGGCCAGATGGTTTTAGTACTGAAGTCTACCAGAACTTTCAAGAAGAGCTAATACCTATACTCCTCAAAGTGTTCCACATAATAGAAACAGAAGGCTCACTGCCAAACTTTTTTATGAAACTACAGTTACCCTGATACCAAAACTACACTAAGACTCAACCAAGGAAGAGAATTACAGACCAATCTCACTCATGAACATGGATGCAAAAATTCTCAATAAAATACTGGCAAGCTTAATCCAAGAACACATTAAAAACATCATCCATCATGACTAAGTAGGCTTCATCACAGAGATGCAGGCCTGGTTCAACATACAAAAATCAATCAATGTTTTCCACCACATAAATAAACTGAAAGAAAAACAAACATATGATCATTTCACTAGATACTGAATAAACATTTGACAAAATCCAACATTCCTTCATTATAAAGGCTTTGGAGAGATTAGGGATACAAGGATCATATCTAAATATAAGAAAAGCAAAATAGAGCAAGCCGTCAGCTAGCCGCAAATTAAATTAAGAAAAACTCAAAGTGATTCCACTAAAATCAGGAATAAGACAAAGCTGTCTGCTCTCTCCATATCTCTTCAACATAGTTCTTGAAGTTCTAGTGATAGAAATAAGACAATATAAGGAGATCAGAGGGATTCAAATTGAAAAGGAAGAAGTTAAACTTTCGTTATTTGCAGATGAGATGATAGTATATATATATATATATATATATATATATATATATATGTGTGTGTGTGTGTGTGTGTGTGTGTGTGTGTGTGTGTCCCCAAAACCTCTACCAGGGAATTCCTACAGCTGACAAATGCCTCCAGTGAAGTGCCAGGATACAAGATCAACTCAAAAAAATCAGTAGCCCTCCTATACACAAAGGATAAAAAAGCTGAGAGGGAAATCAGAGAAGCAACACCTTTCACAATAGCTACAAATCACATAAAATATCTTGGGGTAACACTAACAAAGGACATGAAAGGCCTATTTGACAAGAACTTTATGTCTTTGAAGAAAGAAATTGAAGAAGATACAAGAAAATGGAAAGATCTCCCATGCTCTTGGATAGGAAGGATCAACATAGTAAAAATGGCAATCTTACCAAAGGCAATCTATAGATTCAATGCAATCCCCATCAAAATCCCAACAAAATTCTTCACAGACTTTGAAAGAAAGATATTCAACTTCATATGGAAAAACAAAAACCCAGAATAGCCAAAACAATCCTGTAACATTTCAGACTCTAAGCTCTATTACAGAGCTACAGTAATTAAAAGAGCTTAGTATTGACATAAAAACAGGGACATTGACCAATGGAATCGAATTGAAGGCCTGGATATTAATTCACATACCTATGAACACCTGATTTTTGACAAAGAAGCAAAAAAGATACAATGAAGAAAAGAAAGCAATTCAATAAATGGTGCTGGCATAACTGGATGTCAACATAGAGAAGAATGCAAATAGATCCATATCTGTTGCCATGCACAAAACTCAAGTCCAAATGGATTCAATACCTCAATATAAATCCAACCACACTGAACCCGATAGAGAAGAAACTGGAAAGTAAGCTTCAACGCATAGGCACAGGAGACCACTTCCTAAATATAACCACAGAAGCATAGGCAATAAGAGCATCAATAAATAAATGGGATCTCCTGAAACTGAGAAGCTTCTGTAAAGCAAAGGACACAGTCAAGACAAAAAGGCAGCCTACTTATTGGGGAAAAAAATCTTCGCCATCTCCACATCAGACAAAGGACTGATCTCCAAAATATATAAAGAACTCAAGAAATAAGACACTAAAATTCTAAATAACCCAATTAAAAAGTGGTGCACTGAACTAAACAGAGAATTCTCATCAGAAAAATTTCAAATGGCCAAAAGATACTTAAGGACATGTTCTTCATCTTTAGCTATCAAGGAAATGCAAATCAAAACAACTTTGAGATACCATCTTACACCTTTCAGAATGGCTAAGATCAAAAATACTCATGACAGCTTGTGTTGTAGAGGATGTGGAATAAGGGGAACACCCATTGCTGGTGGGAATGCAAACTTGTGCAACTACTTTGGAAATCAGTGTGGCAGTTTCTCAGAAAACTGGAAATCAACCTACCCCAGGATCCAGCAATTCCACTCTTGGGAATATATCCAAAAGATGCTCAATCATACTATAAGAGCATTTTTGTCCAACTATGTTTAAAGCAGCATTATTTGTAGTAGCCAAAACCTGGAAACAACCTCAACTGAAGAATGGATAAAGAAAGTATGACACATCTACACATTAGAGTACCACTCAGAAGTAAAAAATAATGACATCTTGAATTTTGCATGCATATGGATGGGATTAGAAAACATTATCCTGTGTAAGGTAACCCAGACCCAAAAAATCAATATGGTATGCATCCACTCATAAGTGGATACTAGTTATAAACAAAGGTCAACCAGCTTAGACTTCAGGAACCTAGGGAAACTAAGTAATAATGTGAACCCAAAGAAAAACATATAGACCCACCTGGAAATTAGAATCAGACAAAATTTGGGAGCAGGGGGGCAGGAGTTAGAAGGTAGGGGAGAAGGGGGGTTGAGGAGAACTTGAGGGAATGGGACAGTTGAGATGGAGGAAGGACAGATATGAGAGCAAGGAAAGAGATATCTTGATTGAGGGAGAAATTATGGAGTTAGCAAGAAACTTGGTTCTAGAAAAATGCCCAAGAACCCACAGGGATGACCCCTGCTAAGACCCTAAGCAATAGAGGAGAGGGTATCTGAACTGGCCATAACCTGTAGTCAGACTGCTGATTATCTTAACTATCACCGTAGAACTTTCATCCAGCAATAGATGTGAACAGAGGCAATGATACACATTTTAGTACTGGACTGAGATCCCAGGATCCAGTTGAAGAGTGGAAGAAGTGAGAGTGTGAACAAGGAATTCAAGACCATGAGGGGGTCATTCACTGAGACAGTTTGCTTGAGCTAATGGGAGCTCAACAACTCCAACTGGACTGGGAGTAAATGAGCATGGGAAGAACCAAGTCCTTCTGAAGGGGGGTTGACAGCCAGGGTAGACTGAGGGGCTACTGATAGTGACACTGGGATGTGTCTCTACTGCATATACAAGCTTAATGGGATCCTATTCTCTTTGAATGTAAACCTTGCTCAACCTAGATGTAGTAGGGAGGGCCTTGGACTTTCCACAGGGCTCCTCCCTTAGGGTTGGAGGGGGGATAGTCTGTGGAGGGAGATGGAGTGGACTGGGAGGAGGGGAGGGAGTGGGAATTTGGATTTTTTAAAGTCATAATAAAAAAATAAAGAAAAATATAAAATAGAATCTTATGAAAAAACTAAAAATGCTGTTGATTGGAAATATTGTGTTCTTTCTAAACAGAACTTTTAACTAGCATGCAAAGTTGGAAGTTACATGATAAGATAATCATGAGTACTAAATTTACATAGTTTCTCCTTTTCCTGTTCCTCTCCTTTATCACCTATGCCCTCTTATGTTTTTTTCATTTCTGGCTTCAATAGTTAATAATCTGTTCTCTTTCTGAAACATATGTTTACTCATCCTCCTGGCTCTTTATATTTCCTTCTCCATGGTCTCAGATCTATATTCAGGATCTTAAACTACTCTCACCCATACAATAGTATGTATTTTTTAGCAAGAGGACACTCAGATGTGCACATGAGCAATTACACATGAAATTTGTAGCTTTTTGACTCTAGATTATTTGCTTTGGTGTTGCCATAAATTACATAATTTTAGGCTTATGTTTTCATCATTGTCAACTGATTATATATATCACATTTTGTTTGTTACTCAATCTATGGATGGGCACCTCATCTGGTATTGAGCCTTTGCTCTTTGACCAGTGCAACAAGACACATGCATGAACATTGTCTCTGTAAGAAAAAGTAATCCTTTAAACAATGCTTAGGAAATGAAGAAAAAGCACTTCTAACTCTCATATTCTAATTACAAATGAGCTAAAAGACCATTTATATAATTTTAAAATTCATTGATAAGGATCTCTGATTCCCCCAAAACCTATTATTAATTAATTAATTAATTAAATAAATAATTAAATAATTATTAATTATTATTAATTAAGCTAGTGCTTCTGGGACCTTCACAGTGATGATCCCTACTTTCAGCACTGGGAATACAGAAACCTGATGGTAATAAATTGAATATTAAAACTAGCATGCTAGATATAAATGAGATAAGAAATTTGAAAGGGTTTAGCTTTGACATTCTAATCTGAAAACCTCAGATTAGAGCTGAACACTAGATATGTAACTGCTTTCTACAAAGCAGTGAGCTGCTTTTGGTTTAGGAAGAGAAAAGCTTGGGTAGATGTTTGGTTTTCTTGTCATTAGCTTTTCTTAGTTATTCCAAAATGAGTGTCTCAAAAATCTAGAAACTTTTACAAAAGAAAAATAATTAAAAGGAAGCTCCATCAAAGAGGGAATTATATTCTTCACAATGCAGACCTCATTAAAAGCATCTTCATGTGGTCACATATCTCTATCTTAGAGTATATGACATCATGAACCTGAAGGGAAAAATGGACATCAACAGAACCAGTAACATGGCTTACCTGTTTTCCCCAAAGCATAAGTACCTCTTCAAGCCTTTAACCTGAAACAAAATGCAAAATAAAATAAGTCAGTAAAGACAATGTCTCGAGGTTATATAAAGTAATGCCCAAATCTGGCTGCCTTACATCACTGTTCTGTTTAATGGAGATGTGTGATGTGTTGGTATCAACTTTACTTTGATATTCTGGAATAATTTTGTAGGGTGTTTTATTCATGCTTGTGGTTTCCTGACAGCAGTTGTCTCTCTGTTCCACATGTCAGTGTGTCTTACCTTGTAATCAGTATTTCAACATAGAGTGTCTCCATGTGTAAGATCATTCATGAGTTTTCTTACCTATCAGTACACATAATACCTTCTGACAATAGTAAATCTTGAAGTCAGAGAAAAACAAAACATTCCTGGACTTTTTAAGATTATTTTATTATCAACCTACAACCAAAGTGTGTGGTGTCTTTGAGAGTATAATGCTGCTATGTAGTTATGTAGGATGATAACCATGGACAATGATATCATCCTGTTGTTTTGGGGACATTAGTAGTATTGGTGAGCAGTTATTTATATGGATGGATTCCATGTCTTGCAACATAAATTCATAGTATGAAAACAACATTATCTACTCCTTAAGGTTAATTTTATCATCTTCTTTTTAGTTATATTTTTAAGTTGGCTTGCCAGCTAGTGCTGTTCAATAAAGTTGAATAGCTAACTCAAAAGACTCCTTTGTTCAGACTATCTTTCAAAGTATCAGAAAATGCTATGCTAGCTTCCAAGAGCAAAACATTCAATAGTCCTTCCCAAACCTGGTTAGATGACTCAAACATTCAGAGCACTGACTGCTTTTCTAGTTGTCCAAGGACTATTCCATATGATTGCTCACAACTATCTGTAACTTTAGTCTCAGGGAATACAATGCTTTCTTCTGGTCTCCTTGGCACAGGTCATGCAGGTGCTGTACACACATACATGCAGAGAAACATATAGACATAAAATAAACATAAAGGAAAACATTAAAAAATAACCCTACAGAGCCATGACACTCATGAACCAAAACAATAACCAGCAAGACAATATATCCTAAAAGATATAATAGTGGCACTTATATACTGATAGTAATGAACAACTGTCTTATTTGACTCACGATCCTGATAATAGGAAAGCATGCCTGCTAATGAAGTTATGGATAATAGAACAGTACCTAATCTCTCCACTTTCCTAAACTAGTTTAATTCCTAACTGCATTCTAAACACATATTCTTATACAGAGAGATTACTATATATCTCATTTTTCATCAGAGATCTTTTTTTTTCAGC